GCGGCCCAGCCTCCCTCTGCCCGCCCCGTGCCCGGCCCGGTGGGGTGGCAGCCACACACGCAGGTCTGGGTGCAGGGCCTCTTTCATTTGGGATCTGGGAAGTGAAGTCATAAGATGTGTGTGCACCCCAGAGTGCTCCCATCATTATTAAGAGAACAAGATTATAGGGCGTCTCTGCAGACCATAATAAGCGGCTGAGGTCTCGAGGCCTCCGGTGCTCTGCTATTAAATGCATCACCCAGCGTCGGTTGGATCAGAAGTCCTCAAGGGTGAGCAGAGATATTTGATGCCAAGTGCGTTCAGATTGAGGCTGCGCCTGTTTAAAATACAGGGGCGCTCGGGTCTGGTTTAGGCTTAAACTCAGTGAAAGCTCTTAGGAGAGGGAGCGAGTGTTCATGATTCGGGCTCCGTCCTCTCCCGTCCACCTGTAGCCATGGGGGCTGTGGACTGTGGGGGCTGGTTAATTTTAGTTGCACATTTTCAGTTCACTTGACACTGTCACGAAACCGAGACTTGACGTATAAGAATGCTTTTATAAATCCTCATCTTTGTACTGTGTCTCTACTTAAAAGATTTACTACCACTTGTATGATCGGCTTAGACCAGTGATGGCGAACCTTTTGAGCTCGGCGTGTCAGCATTTTGAAAAACCCTAATTTAACTCTGGTGCCATGTCACATATAGAAATTTTTTGATCTTTGCAACCATAGTAAAACAAAGACTTATATTTTTGATATTTATTTTATCTATTTAAATGCCATTTAACAAAGAAAAATCAACCAAAAAAATGAGTTTTCGTGTCACCTCTGACACACGTGTCATAGGTTCGCCATCACTGGCTTAGATCTTGCTGTATTGATACTGTGCCTTTATTATCCATTTTAAAGTTTAGCCCTCCCCCCCCCCCCCTTTCCCTTTGCTTCCTCGCTGTCCCTCACCTGTCCCTCGGGTCCGCTGCTCAGGGCCACGCCCGGCCTCAGTGCCTGCGCCAGGGCAGGGCCGAGCTCTGTGGCTTCCCCGAGTGTCTCCCTGGTTTAGTACTTGCACCCGTCTCCTCCCGCGGCCCCGGTAAACGTTCTCACGTGTGATTTCTGTGGTTTCGTTTGCTGTGCACGAAGCTAGTGATGGGATCCTTTTCAGGACCTCGGGGTGTTGGTGCCAGACGAGACTTGGCGATGAGCTGGGGCCGCAGCGAGGTCTGCCTGGCCCACTCCTGGCTGGGCGCCAGGCG